TGTTTACATTACAGTCGCATTGGCCCATATCTGATTTATATCTGATTTATTTCCACATATGAATGAGGCCTGAAACCGATCTCGAAATATCCGAATGCATGCGTTTTTTTCCCGTTTACACTGTCACAGAACAGATCCGATCTGTGTCACATATGAGCAAAAAATCGGAATTAGGTCGCATTTAACAGACAGTGTAAACGGGGCCTTAGAGGGGGCCCTTCGTAATGTCCGGCCGGCAGCCCGGTAACCGTGAGCGACGCGCTGAATGTAGCGTCGGCCGTGCCAGAATTTGCATGCTGGTCTCCTGAAGATTAGCCACCCCCCCCAAGCCTGAGCGTGACCTGAAAGGCTCAGAGATAGGCTTGATATTTTTCATCCCTTTTTCTTTAGTGCTAATGATTTAGACGGCGTGACTCGATCAAACTGGATGTTTAGAGGGCTTCAGAGAGCCTTTGAATGAGCCACGAGGACAGCAGTCCCATGAGGGGTTCGTCCTGCCCTCAGCCACTGGCATCCTTTCCAGCAGCCCTCCAGCACTGTAGTTCTGAGTTCTGGACTTCAGACCTTCACAAACCAATGGGGCTCAAGGTGTCTGGCCTGCCATGCTTCTGGCCCCAGGGCTGTAAAGGTATTAAATGATAAACCTACAATTTAAAAATATTTATTTTTGGATGCATCACGTAAAAAATGATAGTGACTGAACTGTAAAATGTCTTTACTCAAACAAAATAAGGAAAACACTCAGAACTGTCAGACACAGACTTGTACCATGTTTTCTTGAAATCACCCAAGAGTCTCTAAGAAAGCACAAATGTGGAAACAAGTAGTGGTGTCTGTGAAATGGCAGTTTGATTGAGCCGGCCCATGTCACATGGGGTTAGGATATCGGGGTGAGCACTGACATTGCCACACTCGGGGTGCCCGTGTGCCTTGGCGTGAGCACGTCGTGTGGCGAGGCTGTGGAGATCCATCTACCAACCCAGCACTGGCAGATGTCCGACCTGGTTTCCTAAAAGTTTCAACACTCCGATATGATCAAGTGACGTGTGTGGCTGAGTTTCACTGTGGCTCATGCTTCTGCAGAAAGCTGACCAAATGTTTTGCATTTTGGAAATTTGCAATTGAAAGACCACATTTAAATATAAGCATGCACTTCACTTTTCTGCAAAACAACAACTGGGAGTGAACAAAAGTTCTGTGAAAAATTCAAGAACAGATTTAGCATTTTAGCATTGATATCTGTACTTCAACAAACTAATCCATCTTAAATCGTTGGTTGGGGGTGCAGGGGGGTCCTCTTGGGTTCTGAAAGCTGGTCATCAGTATAGCCACAGACGTTTCTGGTGTGTCAGGTCACGATTATGTGCCTTCTGGATCATTCTGGCCTGCTGGCGCAGTTACAGTTGCGAAGCACTTGGTGGAAACGGTTCCTGCTCACTGCAGACACACAGTTTCCAGTGAAAGAAAAATGGCCCCTGAACAGACTTTCCCTCAGTGTGACTAAAGTATTCTAAAAGCTTTAAGGCAGGGGTCTCCAACTCCGGTCCTGGAGAGCTACTATCCAGTAGGTTTTCTGTCCCACCTGGCTTCTGATGAACCACACCTGCTCCTGGTATTTACCTGAGAACAGGTGTGGCTCATCAGAAGCCGGGTAGGATAGAAAACCAGCTGGACGGTAGCTCTCCAGGACCGGAGTTGGAGACCCCTGCTTTAAGGGTATAAAAATAGCAATTTACCATTCTCATTCTTCCTGTTCATATTTCAAGTCTAAGGAATATTAAATTATTAAAGTTCAATATATTAACATTTTAAATGTCACAAAAAGCAACACTATAGATGTTCCATGTTCTCAATAATAAATAATAATGAATCATTAGCAAAACAAGCAAAATTAGCTACAAGCCCCCAACTCAGAAATATTGGTGTGAAGATCAAGTAAAGCTGTAATGTCATGTGTTATAAAGAAAAACCCCTTAAATACCATTCATGTTAGTATCTGACTGACTGAGGAACTGATTTGTGATCCCAGCTTCCCACTAAATGTCACAATCTTACCACTGTCATTTTAGTATCACTGATGATGTCTGCACAGCCTGTTCTTGGGAGTTTTTTTTTCCTGTCCTGTCCTTCCCCGTACATTTTCTTCTCATCTAACCTTTGTCCTGCCCTCGTATCCCACACTTTCAGGTTTAGTGTGCAGGTTTTTGTCTGCTTTCAGTTCATCTGGTGTGCAGAGTCGTCTGACAGCTTTTCATCCAGAATGACACTATTTTGCGTTAAAATGTTCATCAGCAGCAACGTTTCATCAGGGCCGTCTGATAGTCTTCTAAAATAATGGTTCTGAAATATATATATTTTACATTTACTAATTTTTTTAGCCATATGGATTTATCTACCTGTATTTACTGACTCTTTCCAGCACGTTTGTATCTATTCATCATCAGTTTGTGTGGCTACGTTTAGGTTTAAGTGTGAGGTCACTTGTGCTACAGCCTTCTGCAGCAACATGGTGTCATAACCAGTCTGTCACCGTGACCAGGGGGGCTAGAGGCGTCATAATGGGACAAGTGGCACAGGTGGGGGATCGGGAGCTGAAAAAGTCCTAAACTAGTATTTCTGGAACAGTCCTCGGGGAGCCCCAGACGGTCCACAGTCTTGGGAGTTAGGAGGGAGCAAAAACATGGACCGTCCCAGGGGCAGACTGGTTATCTGACACCATTTTGCGGCATAAGGCTGTATACAGTAATCATTAGTGACACTAAAATGACATTATCCTAAACTACGTCTCCTGCGTAGCTGACTCTCCATGTCCCACCTGTAAGTCTCCCTCAGTACCTTATAAACCTGAGGATGATCACAGATGCCCCCATACTTGCCCAGGAGATGCTCGTCAGTAAACATTTCAGCAGAAGTCGCAACATCTTTATAACTTTAATTAGAACAACAATATGTACAAATAGCACAATCTTCAAATAATTCATATTCAAAAATGTAAAAACCTTCCACATACCATTCAATAAACGCCTTTACCCGAGATACCGGCGCATAGGATTACCTGAAAACCACCGACGGAATTCACCCAGGGTACGTTTCTGCTCCATGATGCCAGGGAGTTACATGAAATAGGACAGAGGGGCCAGAGAGAGACCCGCGCACAGTGGCCTTTTACCTCCTCCTACAGTCCCACGTAGGGAGACTCGAGACTGCTCGCCTAGTCGGTATTCAGGGACACTTACTATCATTAGCAGTAACTGGGCAGACTGGCCAGTAGCTGGAGCGTAACAGGGCTTACACGGTGAGATGGGGCTCCTGGCTCTACTGCACCCCGAGGACCCCCTGGGCAGACGGCCGGGCGCAGGGGCACACGACCACAGACGTCACGGTTTACCGATGGGCGAGCGAGGCTTGGCGTGTGACGCCGGGCTGCGTTTCACGGGACGTGCCAAACAAAAGACCAAAGCAGCCGACACTGTTTAAAACACAGTTATACGCACATTTAAGTCACCATTTTACAACATCAGCGTGTCGCGCATGTCCATACGCAACACGGACATGGTACAGGCCTACAGTCATCTACTAGATGTGAAGCCCGTCCTCTGGGGGGTGCTGAGCACGGTCACGTGGCGCCCCCTGGCTGCCAGCCATGGGAACGGGCCCACAAAGGCCTCTGGGTAATGTTAAAGACAGCTGGTGTGGAAAGTACAGCAGGAGCGTGGTGTGGCAATACAGGGGTTAAAAAGACCACTTCACACCATCGAAAAGCATGGTTTTCTAATTTCAGCCTACACAGATTTGTTACTGATTGACATTTATACATGTACCTGAAATGCGGCCTGATCACAGATACGTTATTTAGCTTGCACACGCACACACGCACGCACGCACGCACGCACGCACGCACGCACAGGTACATTCACAGTGAAGGTGACACAGGTGTGTCACTGAGGTGTGAGGGACCAGCAGGTGGATAAGGGGGCGCTATGGCTGATCTCTCACTAAGACATGCAGACTCCCTCACGGCCATGTGCTCACTTATTTAGGATGGAGTCAGGAGCGCCCTCTGCTGGAGGAAAAACCTCCGAGCTAAACTAGAGGGGTCCCCAGCAGTCACACCAGATCAGTAGGAGGGGGCATCTCTGCAGGAAGGCACTGGCGTGTACTTTATCACAGTGGAGGTCGGCTAGGCCTCAGAGGGAAGGGGGTTGTGGCTGAACTTCACCGGCCCAGTAGCGGGTCCAGACATGCGGGTGTGCTCAGTGTTCAGACGTCATACACACTCACGCTGGCGACAGTGTTAGCCTACAAACTCACATCTGTCTGCGGGGACAGAGGGTAGGAAGCAAATGACCTCCGCATCATAAAAACGGCACTCTCTATCAGTTGGGTGCTTCCTATTGCCCCCTAGTGGCTGAGGGTGGGAGGACAAGGGGAGGGATCATGGCCCCTAACACGTGTTTGTCACACATCTCTAATGTTTTATATAAAACACACACACACTACAGTGTCAGGAGAGTCCCCTCATGGCACTGCAGGACCCACGCGAAGGGACCCAAAGCCTGGCAGCAAAAAATAGAGCGGAGACCCGGGAATGATGGGAAGGGGGCGGGGCTTCTGAGGGGGGAGGGGGAGGTAAAGGAGAAAAAGCAGGCCGACTGGAGAACTTCACTTCACTGACGGTCAAATAAGACCCAAAGGCTTGGATTACCTCCAAATAATAACAAAAAATGGTACTTCACATAATAACAGTCAAAACTCATCATATCTTATCATAAGACGATGATGAAAATTAAGGTCACTGTCACCACACCTGAACCGACGAAAGGACCACAAAACCCTTTTCAGGAGACTCAGGGGACTGTGGGAGAGCCTGTCCCCTGGGGGGGGGGGGGGGGGGGCGCGGCACTCAGACGTGGCTGCAGAGGAGCAGCAGCATCAGGGCCACGCACAGGAGGGGGGTTACGCGGTACAGGTGCAGCAAGGTGAAGGTAGCCATGGCGACGCAGATGGGCGGTAGGAGCAGAGGGACCAGGCCCAGGAGCTTACTGAAAGACAGAGAGGAGCAGTGATTAAGGACGGGGAGGCCGCTCCCACCACCAGCCCCCACCCAAGAGCAACTCTGCACCCATCCTCTACAGTTACATCCAGCAGATCCTTTTATCCAGAGCGGGGGCATTAGAGAGGTTCCAATTCAGAACCTACCGCCGGCCCCCTCACCCCACCAAAATGTGTAGAAAGGGGACACCCTCCATTCAGCAAATTCTATCCACTACGGTACCTGTACTTCCTCAGATTGGGGGCCCAGAATGGCTAATTATGCCGCTACTCCAAAGCGATGTATCAGTCAGAGAAATAACACATTACAAACATGCGTGCTGCCGGGGAGTCGACTGGGCATGAGTGCAGATAGGCTGAGCTTCCAGCGAAGGCCCAGGTACCAGTGTAAGCAGGTTTAAACATAGAACAGCTGGTCTCCGAATTTGGCACGGTAACATCAGAGAGAGTGGGTCGGGTTATCGTATCCAAACCTTCTGAATATCCGGAAAATTCGATTCATAACTTGATATAGTTTTATCTAATATTGCGGGTGCTAGCAATGAAAGAACTTCACAGCTTATTAGCAGAATAACGTTAAAATTTATTTTTAATTACATTTATTTATTTATATCTATCGATCTGTTGGCCAGAATTAATAAAATTATAAACACGTGCCAGGCCGAATAAATAAAATATTGTTGCACTCCAGTGGTGAAGAGATAATGAGGCAAAGATAATAACAGCAAAGTTCACTTTTTAGTGAACTCTTATTGCACGATCCTTAAAAGGTAAAACAGCAAGAAGGAATAAACTGGCTTACACACACAGACTGGGGAGAAACACAGTCTTTAAGGAGAAAAAAGTAGATACAGGCAATAGTGCAACGAGTCATTCTCTGAAAACTATGAGACTTTGGTCTCCTTAATTTTTTTTTAGCTTATAAAGACTGAAAAATCTGAAACTGATGAAAATAGATCCAAAAAAAATGGAATTCATGTGGACCTATATTTTACTCTCACTTCCTCTTATGTAACATTCCTGTTCCATTCTGGTGGAAATGTGGGCCAGTTCTCAAAAGGCACCAAGCGAGAACCAACCCAGCACCGACATCAACTCCGTGTTGGTGGAAATGAGGTATAAGGCACCACTCCCAGACTCGACCCAGCAAGCACACAGAATGGGGGGGGGGGCAGATGCCGATGAGTACCTGCGTCTGAAAGTAACACAGCTGCAGTTGATCAGCAGGATGGTGGAGGTGAGGAGAGGCAGGGTGAGCGGCCAGCAGGGGTCAGGCTGCAGCCGGATGGCGTACCTGCAGGGAAGAGAAAAGACAGGGCGTGTTACCACCCTCTACCTGCGGGGGGCCCAAGACAGCAAAAGCCCCCGGGCCCCACCCATGGGTGCAACGGGCTGGCATCGGAAGGCACTGCACCTCAGGCTCCGAGCCCAGTGGATCATGGAGGGCATGATCAACACCAACGGCAGGGTTAGCAGCGCAGACAAGCTCAGGTGTAGTTCCAGATCATCTGTCACTTCCTGAAGCACCAAGTCTGTTAGCAAGGGGCCCCCATTGGTCTTCGCAGTCCCCGCGTGACCGTCTTCATCCACATGACCGTCTTCATCCACATGACCGTCTTCATCCACATGACCGTCTTCATCCACGGGGCTGCTCCTTTTGTCTACCTTCTGCTGCTGGGGCCCCTGCAAGGTAAAGGGGCCCGTTAGGTGCTATGTCAGTACATGTCATGCTAAGTTAGCCGGCATTTTAGCATGCTAGCATGAGCTATTCAGACCTGTTACACCGAAGAATGCGCAACAAGTCAACTCTGTAAACCCTTAAATGATGCACTATATCATTCTAATCAAAGACTACAGATCAAGGTGGACAAGCAAAGTTAATTTCCAAAGAAAATGAGGAACCTTCATCCAAAACAATATTTCATCATCATCATCATCCAGAAATGCCACGTTTATGCCGTCTGAAGTTACGCCATCTTGTTCATGCATCCCGTCATTCCTGTCATACCAGTTGTGGGGTTTATCTGGGTGGCGGGGGATCAGTGGGTCACATGATCCAGGCAAGTTTCAGCCACCAAAGCTGAGGTTTTGAATGTATGCGGCCGTGATGTGACAGCTCACAACGGGAGATATCCCAGAAGGGAAGCAGTTAACCACTCTGGACAGGCGAGAGGCTGCAAAACATGGGCTTTAACAGTTTCAAACGTCTGGATTTTGGTGTTATGATGCAAGAGATAGCAGATGTATTATTTTAGGTTTGGTTTGGCAGGAGGAGTCAGAGACGCCTGCGACGGCAAGGCGTCGCGTTTAACAAAGAGCCTCAGAGGATGCCGGCTTTGTTCATACAGGCCCTGATTGTTCCCAGATAAACACTGACGCTCCCCTGATGAAAGGACATTGAAGAGAGCGAGGCGGAGGCAGGCTTCTTTCTTCACACACTAAGATGAATATAGAGGCTTTATAAGCAGCCCTTCATTGTCCATCCATCCATTTTCCATAACCGCGTTTGCAGAACAGCGTCCTGGGGAGAGCAGAGCTCTCCCAGAAAACAAGGAGCACAAGACAGGGGACACCCTGGATGGGGTGCCAGCGTATCACAGGGCACGAGACAGGGGACATCCTGGATGGGGTGCCAGCCTATAACAGGGCACGAGACAGGGGACACCCTGGATGGGGTGCCAGCCTATCACAGGGCACGAGACAGGGGACCCCCTGGATGGGGTGCCAGCCTATAACAGGGCACGAGACACGGGACACCCTGGATGGGGTGCCAGCCTATCACAGGGCACGAGACAGGGGACACCCTGGACGGGATGCCAGCCCAACACAAGGCATACACATCATGCTAAGGGCAGGAGGAAGCCTGCAAGACATGGAGAACACATGCAAGCTGCACACGCGCTGTGTGAGGGAAGGCCTCGAACCCGCAGCCCTGGAGTTCTAACACTTCAGGAGGTTACAGAAACTAAGAGACTGGGGTGCTCAGTTTTGGGGGACGGCAGGGGCACTGCAACTTCTCCGCCATCTATGTTACATTCTTGTCCTGGAGAATGGCTCTACTCTGGGGAAGAGGCAGAGTGCTCCTGCATTCAGAACGGAATGCTCTACTCCGAGAGCCAGGACTGACTGGTCACTCACCAAGTTGAGGACGTGCTTCAGAGTCCTATGCGTCATGAGCAGTCTCAGCACCTGTGCAGGCATGAACAGTTCGGTCAAGACACAAAGCTAACGGACAGAAGGTTCAGAGCTAGTATGCTGGGGGCATTATGGGGGGAAGCCCTCAGAGATGCAGACACAGACCTATTCATCTGATACAGTCATGTCAGTGGAGGGGGGGCTTTAGTTAGGGTCTGAGAAGGTTAGGGCTAAGGTTTGAAAGGGGTTTGGGTTAGGATTTGCGAGGGTTAGAGTTTGAGAAGGTTAGGGTTAGGCAGTAACCTTAGATACTCACCCGGTACAGGTAGCACAGGAAGGCCAGTGAGAAGGGTTAGGGTTAGGGTTAGGCAGTAACCCTAGATACTCACCCGGTACAGGTAGCACAGGAAGGCCAGTGAGAAGGGTTAGGGTTAGGGTTAGGGTTACGCAGTAACCCTAC